TTCTCATTTCATGTTTATGAAATTTCATATTCATGAAATGAGAATTTCATGTTTTGGGGGGATGTACTTTCAGCAGCATTTTATGGTTTTACAGTTATCAGAGTAATAATGACCTCATAGTGTCAATTAAGAATTATTCCCTAATGTTCTGTTTTTGGAAGAGTTTAAAGATTGTTCTTAATTCGTTTTTAAATGTTTGGGAGAATTTACCTGTTAAGACATGTTGTCCCTAACTTTTCTTTGTGAGTGCATTTTGATTACTGATTCACTTTATGTATTTGTTATAAGCCCTATTCAGATTTCCTGTTCTGTCAGGATTATATTCTTTTATAATCATCTGAATTTTTGTTCAGAGTAATTTCCATGTTTACATTTCTGATTTTCATTAACTGTATCTTCTCTAATTTTTTTTTCTTAAAGAACCTATTTCTTTGTAAACTTTGGTGCTAGTTTTTAAAAACCAATTTGGTTTTGTAGAATCTGTTTTTTTATTTTGCTTATTCTCTGGTTTTAATTTTTTCCTTGTGCTAACTTTGTTTTACTGTGTTTTTTATCTAGTTTCTCTAGGAATTATATTTGAGATCTATTTTGGTGTATGCTTTTATGAATATATACTCCTCTTTTTAGTCTTTTTATTGTTGTACTCTGTAATTTTTTCATGCATCTTCAGTATTTCTAATATCCTAGTGGTTACCTTTTTAGTCCACTGTTTAAGTATTGTTTAATTACCATATATCGTGAGTTCCTAGTTTTCCTGCTAGTTTGAGTTTCTAACCACTCCATTTTGGTTGCAGATGGTATTGTTAGCAATTTTAGTATATTAAATTAAATAAACAGTTTAGTTCATTTAAGAAAATGTGCTTGAGAAAAATGTATATGTATGCTGTTCTTTTGGGGTAGAGTAGTCTTTGCATGTCTGTTAGAGGTAATTAGTTTATAGTATTTGATCTTGGGCTGAAACTCAGAAATGCTGCAAGTCCAGTGGTCTAAATCCAAGTGAAAAAGAAAAGTTTTCTCAGGCTTTCTTTTTTTTCCAATCCTAGAGTTTACCCTGACCCACTTACAATTATGTACCTGACTAGATGACAGCCAGCTGATAGTGGTGATGTATCTGATTACTTAATGAATTGTTAGCAACTAAGAATGACTCAAAAATAACAAAAATGAGCAAAGGCTTTTGGCACACTCCTGTCATTCCAGCATTCAGAAGGCTGAGGCAGAAGGATTAAAGGCCAATCTGGGGCTACGTGGTTGAAACCATGTCTCAGGAAAAAAAAATTATACAATTGCTTTTTTGCATATATTGCCTGCCCTCTCAATAGGGAAAAGTCATAGTGCAAATCATTAATCTGTTAGGATTTAATAACAAATTGATGATTTGAGGGTTGTGCTGTGAGCAGTACTCATGAGTTTAAATGCCAGTTACACTGGCATTTTTTTTAATTTAATTTAATTTTATTTGTGAACATACTGTACAGAGGAGTTACAATTACATGGGCAGGATAATGCGTACATTTCTTACCAAGC